CGTCTTCTCTTCATACACAATGCTTCTCCAGCATACAGTTTAACATTCGGTGTAGCTTTCTGTGATCTACCGAATGTCTACTACTGCGTGGGATGTTTTCACTTAGGTGAACTATTTTGAATTTTATATTGAAAGACAAATGTTATAGCTAGCTGGTGTGGAGCTTCTTACTTCTGTCTGTATTTGGCATTCAACAGGATTCTTGAGATTTTAAATTTCAGGTACGCTTAAGTTGAAAACATATATATGAATGAATAATTCAAAGAACTCAAACTATTCATTTCTTTTTTTCTCCTAATCGAACTGTATTTGGCTGTCTGTTAGGAGTACTCTATTCTCTGTATTTCGTATTCTGTACCACGCCTGTTGTGTATGCTAACTCTGAAGGAACTAATGTTATAGATCCCCTTTTCTTAATGGGTAAAATACGTTTCAAGGTAAACATGACTAAACACTGAACTCTACTCAAACGTTTTCAAAGCTTCGATATAAGGTTCTGATGCTCAACAACGTTGGACTTGTCGTCTCCACATGTATTCTTTATGGCTATTTTTGTATAGTTTTCCGAGAAAACATTCGAAAACTTCCACAATTTTCAATTTATCATAATCGGCTGCAATATCAGGTTTTATTAGCTTATATGACTCTTATATTAATTATATACTTAGGTTTTTCTGCAGGCAACTCTGCTGTGTGCTTTCAACTTTTTCTTTTCTGTCAGTTTCACGTCTTATTTATTCATTCCCAGATCTTCCATTGTTCCAAAGATCGTTTTCATTATTTATCAATACACCATTGGTTTGTGATATTTTGGTCATCTAATGAGCTTCACTTGCTTCAGGGTTTCAAGCTTTGATTTACTTCTTTTGCAATCAAACGCTCCAAAGCGGCGTTATGCAGAATGTGATCCGAATGTACAGAAGAACTTCTAAATGTTTGACAGTAAAAAAAAATAAAGCAACCACAAGTCCACCGATGGTTTTCTCATCCTCATACAGTGATTCTTCCAGAAGTTAATGCCTACATGCAACAGGACGTTTCGAGTGTTCCAATTCGACCAAGGTCGATCTTTCCTTGAGCCTTGCGTTAGAACTTTCTGCGTGCTTCTGAACTACTGATCAACATTCTTTCTCTTACGCACGAAGGTATAACTAGACATATATTCTCTGAAGAGCAATTTCTTCTTTGTTTTGTTTTTTCCATAGATTTGAAAATAGTCTAAAAATAGCTTCAGATAGTTTAAGTCTTAATGAGGGGCGGTTTAACCAATGTAGCTTGAAGAGAATGCACAGAACATGCCTAAACTTTATTGTTTTTTGCTGAAAACTCTTTTAGCTTCCAAAAAACCGTGTAACAACCCATCATCAGCGCTTTTCAAGTGTAGTCCCTGGGAACATGAACAACTCTCGAAACAGCTTCCTCTAGGGGACTACTTCAAATGGTCACTAGCTGTCCATAGTACAGCTCAGTTGGACCAATATGTCATTCCTAGTTCATAGAGTCAAAAACTTCTCTGACCTATTGCTAGAACCTGACTAAGTTGTCCAATGACTTCCGGTAGTGCCCACGCCCAAAGTTTTTTTGTCGTTCGCAATGTGTTGGCTGGAAGCACTCATAATGCTAGCTCTTGTAGTTTTAATAATAAAAAATTTTTCTTCCGGCTTGATTAATATTGGCTAATGAGCTGAATGCTTAGTTAGTATTTATTCGATACTAATCTCTCTTTATCCATTCATGTATTACTGATGTGCGAAGTACATCTGAAGTGAATGTAAAGAAACAACTTGCTTTCTTGAAGCTTTCGAATTTTCACATGTATTTTTCTCTACTTTCTCGTTGTTGCTAATGATGATTACTTGTAAATAAATATTTATTCTCATAAATTCTCTCCAAGTCAAAAAAAATTGTCTTTCTCTCTCTCTTTCTGTGAAGGACGAGACGTTAAAGTGGCGGAGTTGGTGGAATATCGATTGCACTCAGCAAAGAGCTGAAGGCTCGCCCTCCATTCTCTTGCCAAACAGCCTACTCATCCGATATTTCCTCGTTTTACTTTTTTTTTCTTCCTCTCTCTCCCTCTCTCTCACACTGAATAATAGAATTATAATATGTGTTTAAGTAATTAGATGATGCAAAATCATTTCCTTTATGTTTCATTTTGAGAATTTTGTGAGAAATTTTTTGTTCAATTCATTTATCTTGTTTTTCATTTGGCCCATATGGAATATCCAAAAACAAAATGAAAATACGGAGGAATTCGCTTAATTTGTTCGTCGTTTATCTTTCCATGAGAAGTTTTTCATTTAAAAGATGTGTGATGTATGGTTTTTATGATCGTCTTACTAAAAAAATATAAAATTTTGTTATTCTGAACTAAGATTTATCTGTTTCGTCTTCATCTCTCTCTTCTCTCTATCATCATCTTCTTCTTCTCACCATCTTTAGTTTTTGATAGAAAATTCTGATGAAATAGGATAAAGTCCAAAAAAAAATTCTAGAACCCACAGAGGATAGTGAAGGTTCGATGAGTGAGAGAGAGAGGGAGAAACATAATGAGAAAGCTTCCCTCTGTCACTCTGAGGCATGACATCATTTTTCCCTTTTCCATCCTTTTTTTCAAGCTTAATGACGAAAGATTTTGCTCTTTTTCTCCTCTTCAGCTCTCCTAATTTCTTGAGCAGTGTTTGAATTGAAGAAAATTCCTTTTGTTAAGTGATGCTGTTGAATTGAATAGTCTGTTTGTGATCAAAATAACACATTTTCAAGCTTTCACTTCCATATATCCAAGTTTGTGTCTATGAAATTCCATTCGTAAAGCTCTCTTGTCATACTCATCTAATCCTCGTGATTTTTCATTTTCACTTCTCTAAGCCGTGTTTGATGTAGAAGGCTTATATAGGAGAAGCTTAGGAGACAAATGCTTTTCAAATGTTTATGTGATATATATATAAAAATAGTATAAATTAAGAGAGTATTGTTACCTTCGATTATCATCTGTTCAGCATTTTCAGCTGTAAACATCCATCTCTACCTCCTCTTCCTTCTCTCCAACCCTCTTTCTCCTCCCTCCTTCTATGTATTTCAGCATTCCCTATTTCTCACTCTCTCTCTCTCTATCCTCATCAACCCACTCAAATCTTTTTGTTGGTGTATAATTTGATTTTTCTTCGTTTTTTCCTCTTTACTCGTCTTATCCACAAAGATTTTTTTTCTTCTTTCCATTTTACTTTTTTTTTAATAACAGGTCTATTCCTCTTCCTCTCATCGTTTTCTTCATACTTTCTATCGCCATGGCAACTGTTATGAAACAACCAATGAGAGATGTGATCGAAGTTCCTATGAACAACTTCACCTTTGCACAAAAAAATTGTTTTCTCTGCCAATTTTTATATTATTAATCATTTATTTCCTACGTGAACATCTTAACCTTCCTGACTGACAGAGTTTGACATTCGAATTTTGTCCACCCCTCACTCTCTTTCTCTCTCTATACATATTCTCTCTTTGAAGAGCTCAGTTCCAACTGAGTTCGTCAAAGTGCAACCACTGAGAAGCTTTCGAAATCATCATGACGTCGGCAGATCATTTCAAACACACCCAATACGCTCCCACATACGTGTATATAAAAGTCTTTTTTCCCATATCTGGGCAAACATTGACCCTCGTGGACCTCATCCTGCCTTCCTGGATGACGAAAAAAAACATTTTCATTGCGTTCTCTCCTCAAATCCAGCAAGTTTTCATGTTTCTTTCTCTACTTTTGCTCGACAGAACCAATAGGATGTTATCAACATTTTCATTCTTCGAATAACAAAGGAATATATATATATATATTTGAAATTAAAAACAGATGGTCTACGTTTTCAGATGTGAAAGAAAAAATTTTTGAACAAACCTATTTCGTTCTCCTTTCTTCATTCCTTCAGACTGATCGAAAACCTTTTTTTTGTCATCTTGTTTTTCATTAAAACTGAACCTCCCTTCTCCTTTTAGATTTGTACAAGCAGTGGGCATGGAAAAGAGCTGGGATTTCAATCACCATCTCTCTTGTCTTCGCACACATTCTTCCTCTCTCGGTTTTCCTTCAACAAATTTATTTTAAACCATTTTAAGTTGTAATCATGATTTTCTTCCTTCCCTAATGAATTCTCAACAAATTTGACGTCACTCATTCGCCCACATTTGACCGAAATGATCATTTCGCTTGAGTTCCTTGTTTGAATGGCTTCACCTCTCCGCTATTCCTCTCTTTCCATAATCAGCTAAATGAGAGATTGCGAGAAGAGTAGGGATCAACATGAATATTATTCTGTATAAATGAAGAGATGAGCCGTCTTACTTTTCATTCAAAATTTGTTAATATTCGATAACAAAGTCTCATAACATTTTTTAAACTTTCGTCAGAATTTCTCCGCCCTCATTCTCATTTTTCTTCAGAAAAAAAGAGACAGAAGTGAATAGGTTTTTTTTCTCTTTCTACTTACTTTCTCGTCCAAATGATTCTGTTTATTACTGAAAAAGCTTGTCGAAAAAGAATATAGCAGAAGAAACTAGCATCTGCTAGTCCAATCGTCATCTCTCGCATCTCTCTTTCATTGTTCTGTTTTTTTTTCCAATTTGATGTTTGACACCTTTTTTTTTAGATTTTTTTTGAGCAAATAAGCACTTCTCTTACATTTGCTAATTTCAAATGGGAAATTTTCTTTATAGTTTAAATATGTATATAGTTATACTGATGTCTACAATTTTCTCGTGAAATGTCGATGGCTGATGAAATATCCACATTTCGAAAGTGTAGCACAACTTTCTCTCTCAAAAACCTTAATGGATTTTTAAATTATTCTTTCATTCCATTCTCTTCTCTTTTAAACAATATCTTTCGTATTTCAAAATATTTTCATTCGCTTGTTTCAGTTTTGAGTTCAACTTATGTCAGCTCGGACCTCCGTCCGCAGCTTCAACACATATCTTCTCGATCTTTCGCATTAAAGAAATCCTTCGTCATGGCTGATGTTACTGCACCATCTTTGGTCTCTTTAAACTCACAAAAGGTTTGTCGTTTCCGGCTCAGCTATTTAACCTTGTGACTTGTTAAGGTAGGTAGTAAGTTCACGTTAGAACGTGTAGAAGAGCCGGATGTGCTGGAGACACCACTTCCTCAACCAAATGCTCAACAGCTTTGGGGACGCTGCAGGTTTTTTTTTTGAATTTCTTCCTATTTTGTCATTGTTAATATATACATATAATTAAAATTATTACGTTAACTATATGAATGTGGTTGCAAGAAAAGAATGATATAGTATTAGAGTTTTAATATTAACGCATTGAAAGTAATATGGAGATCTCGATTGAAGGACCGTTTTGCGCGTAAACAACTCGTCAAAATGAGCTTCTCACGTGTTTCACGTCACTTTTTCAATATGCTAATTCACTCGTAGATAGATATATAGTACATTGATCGATCAATTAGTTATAAATAATATATTGTTAATATGTATATATATATATATATATATATATATACATGTATATATATAAATCTTGAATCATTCGTAGGTATAACTATGTAACACGTAGGGATTGATGTATATACTCATATATATTAATAATATTTTTATTATATTTTTATTTATCTCTTTATATAGATACAGATATATATACATATAGTTTGACTTATTAATACTTTCATAAAATATATAATTATGATAGTAATACAATGATATTATCATTATTATTTATTATGAAAATGCATTAATTGTTAATTTGGAGAGATAAGTGCAAATAAAAGACCAATGAATCTATCTATATATGAAACTTTTTTATTTTATTTCATTCATTTATTTATTTATATTTCATATTATTATATTTATGATGATTAAAGATGTTTTTATTTGAAGGTATCTCATTTTACTTCTGGCCGTTTTTTGCTTCACGGCTGCCCGGTCAAATGATCTTGTCTTTGCTTTCACCATCATTTGTATGACAAATAACAATTCGGAGAGTGGTGTAAGTCACTTCTTGTTGGAGTATAACTATCAAATTGCTTATTAAATACTGTTACAGGCATTAACAATTCCATTCGCTCCTCAAGATTTATCATTATCCTTTGCTGGCGCTGGCGCTGGCGCCATCATTGCTGCTTTACCTTTGGCATTTCTCCTTCAGATTTTTGGTGGAAGGTTAATATTGTTAGTGATATGTCACATAATTAATGAAATGTTCAGAATGGTGATGAGTGTACTGCTACTTCTCTCAGCCATCGGAACATGCTTCATTCCATATGCTGCAACTTTTGCACTTGAACATGCTCTACCGATTTCCACCCTGATATTCCCATTACGAATAATTCAAGGTAAACCATTCATAGCTCAGTCTATTTATACTATAAGTGTTCAGGAATCGGAGTTGCTTCCGTCATGCCAATGATGGGTTTTGTGAGTGCTCATTGGGCTCCAGTAACCGAAATAGGAAAGTTTGTTACGATACTATCCAGTGCCAGTCAGCTATCACAAATCGTAACAATGCCGGCTTCTGCTCATTTATGGTACTGAATTATGAAAGAAAAAACAGTTATATGAATGATTCAAGTGTAACAACTGGATGGCCGTGGGCATACTATCTACACGGGATCATTGCCATTTCAGGAGCTCTCTTGTTCCTTATAATGTTCAGAAATTCACCAAACAAGCATCCCTGTGTATCAGAGAGTGAATTAACAAAAATCACCAATGGAGGTTTTGAACATTTTCTTTTAAGTTAATTTACAAAGTTCTTTAGTTCAACACCGGAAACGAAAAGATCAATGCATTCCGTACCGCTCAATAGCCACAAGCAAACCCATTTGGGCTGTTTGGTTGGCTTTTCTGGGGAATTCTTTCGGCTTCCAACTGATTGTTCAGTAAATAACTTTTAAAAATTTATGTGAAAATTCTGGTCTCTTACAGATTTATGCCAACTTATTTGAACAAAGTGCTCCAAGTACCAATAGAGCGCACAGGATTTTCGGCCGTTCTTCCGCCCATAACTCAACTTCTTATCAAAATATTGGCCGGCTACTGTAGTGACAAAATCACATTCTTGGCAGTAAGAGATAAAATGTTTTACTGAATTCTAAAAATTGTGTTTCAGGAACGACGCAAGTTACAAGTTTTCAATACAATTGCAATGTGCGGATGTGCACTGTTTCTCCTACCTCTTGGCTTTTTGGATCGATCTCAGGCTTCACTAGCGATTGGTAGATTTCAATTATAATTATGAAGAGACATGGATTCATTTCTTTCAGTTTGCTTCTCAAGCTCTATATCTTGTCTGGGTTTGGTGACGTGCGGGTCAATGAAAAGTGCGACTATGGTTGCCAGACAGTATAGTCATTTCGTCATGTCCATTGTTCAGGTTATTCAATTTCCGAAAAAAAATGTATAAAAATTATTTTTCAGTTTGTGGTATGTATCGGAATGTTAGGTGTTCCATTTTTGGTATCAACCCTGGCCCCCAATAATACTATCGAAGAATGGAGGTGAGTACTCGCGACAGTTTTTCGTTTGCTAACCAAGCATTTTTCAGGAACGTTGTTCTTTTGGTCGGAATGATTTTGTCCGTCTGTAATCTCGGATTCTGCCTTCTCTGCGATTCTGAGCCAGCCAAATGGACGATCGACAACATTCGCATTCCAAGTACCAAAAACATTCCTCTTCTCTCAGACGATCCACAAGCAACTGTTGCGACTATTGCCGAACTCGCCTAATGAAAACTATCTTAATTATTAACTTCTTTTAGTACATTTACATCATTCACTACGGTTCTGTGTTCTTGTAAATATGTTGTTTTTTCAATAAAAATCCTTCTCTTAAAACGTTTTCAATGGTGCAATGGATCGCATACAACCGAAGCTCTCCTGTTTTTACGCAAAATTCATCCCAAAGAGAATGATGAGTTCATCAAATATAGAAATAAACAAAACTTATCAGTTCGCATCGTCACTTTTCTATCGAACCAAATAAAATACATATATTTATCTATATCTATATCTATATATATATATATATATATATATATATATTTATAAAATAAAAAATTAAATCTAAGCTTTCTCATAACATATGGCTAGTTTTTGTACTCGTTTCAAGTCGATAGCTACCGTTTGTTCTCACGAAGCAATTCTTTCTCGAAACGGCTTAAGGTAATATATTCCTTTCATTCAAAAAGCCGTAACAGCAATATTTTTAAAATATTGCAAAAAATTAAAAAGACAACTAGTGAAGGCGAAAGAGACGCGAAGCGGCCGCAAGCGCGGATTTTGCCTACGTCCGCGAGTTCCGAGTTTCTCCTGGGGTTATCATCAGTACTGATTACGAGATCGATAAAATACTATTTTATCAGCATATTACTACTACATTCTAATTTCCAGGGTGAAGCATTGGCTGAACCCGGCAAGTCACAGTTTTTCAAATATGACAGACATTTATGAGGTACTCTTTAACACTTAAAGCTATCTTGAATTTTTATCATTCTTCAGACGAATGAAACTGTAGAGGATGTAGCAAGAAAGCTCGCAGATCTTAATACTTATCCCTGCGAACTTCTGATACCCAAAACGCAAACACAACAGGTTTCATTGTAAACTTTATTCCCATTTGAATGTAAACCTTCAGACAGCACTTCTTGAGAAATATCCTAGTTATGATGGTCGAGGTATTGTTATGGCCATTTTAGACACAGGAATAGATCCCGCTCTTCCTGGACTCCAGGTAGAATATTCGTGTTTACGAAATATAACAGTGTTCCAGCTAACAACAACGGGCGAACGTAAAATATTGGATTGCGTTGACTGCTCTGGAGCCGGAGACGTTGATACGTCAACAATAAAAACTGCTGTTGATGGTGTTGTAATTGGCATCACCGGAAGAACACTACGAGTATCTTTGATTTTCTCTTGGACATTGCACTTCCCTTCAGATTCCAGATGAATGGGTGAATCCAACAAATAAGTATCACCTTGGAATCAAGCCACTTCACGAGTTATATTCTGAAAAATTGAAAGGTGTTGTGAGGGTGAGTAAGATTTCTTTGGAAATGTTCTATTATCTAACTCACAGGCGGAACACAAGACCGAAATATGGGATCCTATGCATCAGATTACGTTGGCCGATTCACAAAGACTTCTGGGAAAGCATGAACAAGCTGTAGGAGGAACCAGTGATAAGCTCGTAAGCATTCTAATTTTCTACTGAGTGACTTACTTACCTTAAAGAGTGAAAAATACGAACGGGAAGATTTAGCTTGTCGAGTAGAATATCTTACATCAGTAAGCAGCTTACATGATAAAGGACCTTTGGTTGATTGTCTAGTTTGGCATGACGGAAGCGCTTGGAAGTTCGATTCTTTCCACTTTTTCCTCAGCATATTCTTTTTTTCAGAGCTTGTCTGGACACTTCATTCAGAGGCAGGTTGAAGTTATGTACTCCAATGGGCTCTTTCCGTGAGACAGGAGAATACAGTTTCTTCACAGATCGGGGTTTTCATTATTTTTTTCCCGAAGTTCAATATTGTTTTATTCAATAGATAAAGCCACTTACTCGTTCCGTATTGGTACTAAAGGTAATCATCTCGAAGTCGTTATTGCCAATGGTCTTCATGGCTCTCATGTTGCCGGAATAGCCGCCGCTAACTTTCCGGAGAATCCGAAGCAAAACGGTTTGGCTCCAGGAGCGAAGGTATTTCACTATTGAAGGCTATGAAATTAGAGGTCTTCCCAGATTGTGTCTTTTTCAATTGGAGATAACCGATTGGACTCTATGGAAACAGGAACAGCTCTTACCAAAGCATTCAACATGTGCGCTGATTATGGGGTTCAAGTTTTGAATATGTCATTCGGAGAATCAACCCATATCCCAAACAAAGGGTTAGTCTGAATGGTTTTTTTTCTCACCTTGTTTTCTAGGCGTGTCATTGAAGAACTGCAGTACCTTGTATCAAAGCATAATGTCGTTTGTTGTATATCCGCAGGTAACAACGGTCCTAATCTTTCTTCTGTGGGTTGTCCAGGAGGAACAACCTCATTAGTACTGGGTAATTGAGTAATAACATTTCTCTCACGAAAAGTTCATTTCAGGAATTGGCGCCTGTCTATTCCCTTCAATGGTTGATTCTCTCTATGGAGGTTTGGCTAAAGTAGATACTATGCTTTATCCCTGGAGCTCGCGCGGGCCAGCGTACATAGCTTCCAAGTTTCTGTTCTTAACTTCGTAACTTCAGTGCTGATGGAAATCTAGGAGTTTCGATATGTGCGCCCGGTGCAGCTTATGCCGAAGTTCCAAAGTATAATCGTAATTCATGTGAGAAAATGAATGGGACGTCGATGAGCTCACCTAATGCTGCTGGAGCAATCGGTTTTTTTTTATGCGAGTGATGATTTAAACATGTTTTTCAGCTTGTTTGTTATCAGCTCTCAAGGCTAGGGACATTGAATGGTCTTATTTACTAGTTCGATTAGCTTTAGAGAACACAGCTGCTAAGTTTGATAGTCTTGATAGCTTCTCCCAAGGAAACGGTGTACTTCAAGTGAGCACAGTACGCTTGGAAATTTTATTTTATCCGTTATCTTTGAGATTGAAAACGCATTGAATTACATTACCAAGCATGGCCAGTTTCTGCCCCCAACTCTCATGTCTTTTGAAATTCGCTGTGGCAAAAGCGATAGAGGTTTTAGATTCTCATCTGCATTTTTTGAAGTTAAAATTTAGGAATTTATATGCGGGAAACTTTCTCAAAACATCATATTGTTAGCGTGTCTTGTTTGTACTCTCCGCTCACAAGTTAGTTAGCTTCTCCACTCCTTATTCTTTATTGTCTGCAGACCTGGACCATATGATTGATTTCACTAAAAATTTTCTGTTGACCTGTGAAGCTCCTTGGGTAACCATCCCCAAAACTTTCCGAGTAACATCAAATTCCCAAAACTTCCGTGTCGAAGTTGATTGGGAAAAGTTGGAACCTGGTACTGCTAATTATGCTGAGGTAAATTTTTTTTCGTAAAACTTCTCAGGTCAATTAAGATCTGTGCTATTGATCCGGAAAATCCTGAACTCGGACCATTCTTCCGTGTGCCCATATCTGTAATTATTCCTGTTATCCCCGACAAAAATACCGAAGTAGAGTTTGCCTTTGATGCTTATCCTGGTATCCCTGTTCGTAACTTCGTGAAAGTACCTGCTGGTGCTACTGTTATGGGTTTGTCCAAAATGAATGGTACCAAGTACAGCAATGCTACAGATCTGGAAGTTACCGTTCCATCGAAAAAACAAGAAGATCAAATGAGTATTGACTGTGCCCAGTTATTCGCGAATACAGCCATCAACTATTCGTCGTTCAATCATGTTTAGACATTTTTTTTTACTGTGTTCATGCCTTCAACTTATTTATAGTCTATGAGTGTTTCTGAAGTAACAAGGATATCTATGAATGTCATAGAAAATTTTACCAATGAAGTTGTGATCACAAAACCTTGGATAATCTGTGACGGGCCTAGCAAAGTTCGGGTTGCCATCAAATTCCGAGGAGCCAAAGTGTTTACTCCATTCGTTTTGGTTTGCAAACTTTTTTTTCGTTTTCTAAAATTTTCTCAGCATCATGACAGTGTTTCCAAAAAGTTCACAGGTCGAGTGGCTTTCCGACGAGAGACCTTAAAACCCCAAATTAAGTATCTGTTCGTTTCCTCTAATCTTGATAAATCTCCTGAAGTTGCTTCATTTCAGAGCGTATTACGAGTCGGTGAAGCAATCTGCTCCTTACAAAATCGAACCGCTTGGACCGGAAGACGTATTTCTCAATGGGTATCAGATAAATCGCTTGTTGTTGACATACAACTATAAAGGTTTTTCTTTATTTTCAAGTTCCAAAATCGGTTCGATTTGCAGTTGCGAAAGCAGGCCGCTACAGCTTCGAGTTTATGGATCTGTGTAGCTACCTCTACGAATCATATGTTGATTGTGTGAGGTTCCAAATTTATACTCCGAATAAGGAATACATTAATAGCGGAAGTGTATTCCCCGCAAGAGTCTGTTAGAGCTCTTATAACTCATGTTCTCAAGTGATTCCAGAATAGAATTAAGTTGACCCCAGGTGATTACATTATTAAAGCCCAAATTCGTCATCCATCAGTTTCCGTTTTGGAGACTCTAAGAGATCTGAACTTGAAGTCAGTTGATTTGTTATTTATATGAATTACATGTTTTCTGAGTTTCAGTGTTGCTAACATATTAGCCAATCCAATTATTCATGATTTCGATTTATCTTTGGGACAAAAAGAAGGTTCATAGTTGATTCAAGAAAAGAATTTAGAGAATATTTCAGAGAAATGTACCATTGTAACAGAGGATAAGTTTTCTTTCTTTGCTTCTCATCTCTCAAGTGAAAAGTAAGAAAATTAATTTGAAAGTAAGATATTGTGTTCACTTCAATAGATTGAAGAATTTGTCTCCAAAGCCTGGTTCATTTTTGATTGGATTGGCTTCCATGTATGATGATAAAGTAACTTCACTTTTTTTTCAATCACTCAATTTCAAGTTTAGATGGATAAGCAGCAAGCTTATTATTTCTTTGGAAACCCCAGCAGCAAGTCATCTACAGGCTTATCAAAAGTAGTCATAAACTCGAAAAAACCTGTTCTTTCCGAGCAAGAAAAAATGGAAGGTTTCTGAACGTTTTTGTTTGTTTTCTAATTTCAAAACTTTTTTTCAGAGGCATTCCGTGATTTCCAGCTGCTTTATAGTAAAAACCTTAAAGATCCTACATTGATAAAGAACTTATTCGATGAATTGATTGCAAAATATCCCACTCATATCCCCGTTTATACTGCAAAATTGATGAAGATGTTCGAAAAATCAACAGTTTGTTTTCCGATTCTGTCTAACATACCTAAATTCATTACAGCATAGAACTACTGAGGAGTTAGATGAGTTGGAAAAGTTGGTAGCTAAAATTGTTGATCTGTGTAACCCAAACGAAATATTGCAATGGCTTGGTTGTCGCCAAGAGGTGTTGGAAGATAAGTCTGACGAACAAAAGTGAGTCAGTTCAGTATTGCCGAACGTAGATTCTGTTTAAGTGATATCAATCGTCGGAAGGACGCTATCATTCAAGCTTTGCTAGTCAAAGTCAATGAATATGCTGATTGTCATCTTAGACATAGCACTTTACAAATTCCTGCTGGCTTCCTCAAGAAAACTAACCCAATTGTAGGTTATTTAATCATTTGCTAAAGTGACGTTTATATTTTTAGATTAATAGCCCTGAAAGCTCTGAATCTACTGAAAATTTTAAAGACGTAAAACCCGAATCTAATGAAACCGAAGAAATTGAGAATGAAACTCAAGCTCATCCAGAGAACTCTGTCGAAAGTGATCCAACAGGCGACGAGCCCAGTCTGGAGAAGAGTTCAGAGCAAGTTTCTAATGAGAGCTCTCCCGTTTCTGGTGGTGATGACAGCAACAATCAAGCGGATGGAATTATTTCAGAAGACTCAAGTGTAAAAACAGAGAAGATTGAAGAAAAACCTGTCGTATCTGCCAAGGTGTCCGAAATTGCGTGTTCTTCACTTTAACGGTCTTTTCAGATATCGCGCGAGCAACTCGATACAGCTTATTATGAGCTTTTGAAATGGATAGGTCCAGACGATTCGAGAGTACGTTTATTCTGATCGAATTCTGTGATATCATTTTTGTAAGGTACTTTTGATTTCTGCAAAGCAAGCAGTTGCTCATGAGCACTTTGGAAGAGCTCTAAAATATCTCGAAAAATACAACGAGTTCCTTAAAAGTAAGGGTCTCCCGACGAAGGACACCTGCAAGATTTTACAAGAAGTGGGTTTGCTATCTATGATTCTATCAAAACAAGATTCTTTAAAGATTTGTGATATTCTGGGATGGGTTCATCTTGGCAACTGGCATCGCAACGAAGCTTTGCATCAAAATCCTCCCGACTTCAGGCCTTTCCAATGTTTCTAAAATTTTAATTTTTCACAATGTCTTTCGCAGTAGGTCAAATAAACCACAATGTGCAATAAACTCTGAACTTTTTTCTGTTCTCTCAGTCATTCCGATAGGACAAGGGTTAGGGTTGAGTCAAATGTAGGTGGAGTGAGCAAACGCCGCTCCAAACATGATGTAGCTTGAAGAAAAGCTGAGACAACCGAATGAACCGTTCTAGTTCAAAGTTGTATCAGACGACGATACGGTTTATTTCAGGTTTCAGTACAAAAATTGCCTCTTGAAAGAGCTTAAGGGGTTGAAAGTGAACTTGTTGACACAGCTTGTTCCATTACCGGAGGTAAGAAGTTTCACAAATAGTACAGAAATTGAGTAAATTTACTAAAGTTGCAGAAGCCCTAAAAAGGGATGATTCATTGCTCATATCAAAAAAATTAATGTGAAACATGATGATATAACTGGAGTTTTGAATTTCAGTCCGATTTGTGAAAAGGAAGGAGAAGGAAATGAAACGTCGACTTAGTCATCATTACTCGACGGTAAAAAAAATTTGTGTTCATATTAGGGAGGGCAAATTGGTGAAAGTTGTGTTGTAATGGTAACCTGACAGACTAGTTTTTTGACAGCAACAGAACTTTTTTGAGAAGAAAAAGAAGAAGACAATGAACGAAAATTAGGCTTCCGAATGTTTTTGCTCAAAATATAAGTTATTTGTGCCATTCTTCCGAACGATTTCGCAACACTGGTCACCTGGCCAGAATTCTCGTCTGTTTCCATCTTGAAGGTTACCCTTATTCTCACTTTTTTACTTAATCAGCCAGCCACACCCAAGAAGAACGTAGTGGATTGGGTGCGATGTATGAGAGAGAGGATAGATGGAGAGAGGATCTAAACAAAGAAGAATGTAAAGCACATTAAAACAACGAAACAGGTTGATTAAATTTAGGAGATCAGATGTGTATGTATTTGGAAAGCTTTAGAAAGCTGTGAAACTGGACTTCGCCTGAGGCGTTGACTTATGTGGTTGACCCATTTTACAAATTACTGGAGTGTTCTAACACATTACACGAACAGATAAACTCTTTCTCATGTTTTGTTCAAAACTTATTTGAGGAAAAATGCACACACTTGAGAAGCCATTGTCATCAGGTTACTTTCGTTGCAGCATTCATAGGGGCGCTAAAATAACCAAGAAAAGGGTGAGATTACTTCTCAATTTTACAAAACAAACATGGTCTTTGATTGAAAAAATTCCTTTGGTGCCGAAACCTTTCGGTCTGTCTTCATCAGGTGAATGTTTCTTTTTCTTTATGAACGGAAAAAAATGCAACCGTTTCTCACGTAAGCTCGGAGAAAAATGGAGTTAGCCTTCCCAGAGTCTCCTCTTTCATTTTGAGCCAATTTCATTTCTGAAACTTGGAAATGACAAATGTTTTTCTTCAAGGTCTTTTCTTTGTTAAAGAGAAATACAGAATATGGAAAAGCTTTGAATACTTTCAATCAGCTTTTCAATCTTTTTCTGACCTTTTTGTCCACCCACATGGTGTGTCATATCCTTTTTTATGAAAAAAAACTAACTTATTTCATCAGAAGAAAGGAGGCTGTGCCTCAAGGAGAGAATGATCTGGAAAAGCGAAATAGTTCTGAGAAAATCCAGAAGTTTGTTTGAAATCAATTTCCATTTACATAATCTCGGGCGTTGTCCATTTACGGTATTTTGTCATTTTATCGTAACTCTCTTTCTCTCTACCTCTCTCGCTTCAACTTTCTTTTTTCTTTTCTTTTTTACCTGTGTCTCTCACTATGATATGCTTGTTCACGTGTTTAACGTGATTCATCAGAAATATTTGATGGGGGCAACGCCCCAAACAGAAAAAGGCTGGAAGGCTATAAAAGGCAGTCGAGAAATGCGATCAACCAATAACTTGAAATCCTCTTCCGTTCATTCCTTTTCTCAAAATGTTTCTTCTTCTTATTTCTTATTTCGAGTGATATTTTCGTTCGCCTTAGTGAGCAATTCAAGGAAACAAACTGGAAATGTTTTCATTTCCACAAAATTCAAAAATATTTTTTGTATTTTTCTAAAAAGTTTGAAAGTTTTTATTCTCTCTCTCTATTGCTATTTTCATTTGCCTTCGCTCTGGCGACCTGTCCTTTTGTGGCAAAAAAAAATTCCAATTTTGGTACTTTTCTTTTTGAACATAGGACAACAAATAAGTCAAATAGTCCCATTATTAGGAAACTCTAGAAAGCTGTCAGAACCATTACTACGCATGATCTTTGAGTTCTTTTGAAAGCTTGTATTGAGAACGAACCAAACTCATGGGAGGAGTTACACTGTTTGACGTAAGCTCTGAATTTTTTGAGTTCGTCGCACAACAACGGTACAATAGTTCATTGTGGCACCCACTATGAACGCTCGTCTAACCAATCTCAGTGCAGTTCTAACTCTATATATATGAAAGCTCTCTTGTATTTGAAAACAAAAAGACGTTTCGATTTTTGACTGTAAAAGCTCTCTCCGCCCATTTGCCTTGTTCGATTTTTGATCAGTCGATTTAAGTTTTTCTTTTACTTTCCGTTCATTCCCATCAAATTATCAATTAAAATGGTTTATTTTAAAGAAAAGAAAGTAAAACAATGGCTGTTGCTATGCGTCGCTGGTATGACGAGGATCTTCCCGTTCGTCACCGTGATTCTTCGTGGGGACAGAATGAATGGCTTGATGACTGGAAGGACTGGCCAATGGACTGGCCAAAGCCAAGAGAAATGATGGGCAGAGTGAGTTTCTTATATTATTTTCTTCTCATTCGTTTGTTACCTTTCGAACAAGCTGACACATATTTTATTTGAGAAAAAACTATTTTAAAGAAACATCACAAAAAGATGTTTTTCCACAAAGTGCTACTAATCGATGCCATATTTGGATCGTAAAACGCATTGTAATCCGAAAAACATTCTTCTGCTAAATACAACAGCGCCTAGAATTATTATTTCCTTTTTTGACTGAAGTATGTTTTGAAACACAAAAGGTTCAGAAATGAAAACTCCGTTTCTTCTTCTCTCTCTCAGCACAAAAAAATGCGATTAGTCGTCAAAATATCCGAATGAAATCATTTTCTTTATAATGAATTTCATCTCTTTTTTTTCTTTTTGTTTAGTGCCTCAGGCAAAATTCCTGACGCAGGTGTCTAAATATGGCTGAAATAGTTTTGTATTGATTATTATTCATAGCTATTATAGAGAATCTATACAGTCTTCAATTCTATCCATTTCCAGTCAGACCACCTCTTTTTTCCCTCACAGTCTCTCTTAACTCATTCTCTACCTTTCAATTCATTCTCTATTCTCTCTCTCTTTTACACGTTATGATTTTTGCCTCCCATCCTGTATCTCCCAATTCGTCAAAAGACAGACAATTCAGTCATTTTCACGAAAGATACGAGCTACTTTACTTTTCATTCTGGGCATTTTTCCATTTTCCCTATGTTTTTACGAAGAATACTGTCGGCTACCAAAAGTGTTCAACTTCACTAACACTTTTTCTTCATTCAAATTTTTATTCGAATATTTTTCAGTTTACGAGAGACACCGATCAGTGGTGGCGTGATTGGCCAACCGATTGGCCACGAATGGATGCAGTCATGCCTCGCGTGAGTTTTTTTCTCCTCCCTCCTTATTTACATATTTGGCAACTTGAAAACGATGAGTCGTCCCTTTATAAGGGCTTCTAGTCTTTTTCAAACAAACTTTTTTTGTAAGTAAAACGAAGGCAATCATAAAATCCGCTAGTATTTGCCGTATTTGCCACTTCTCTTCCAAACTGTTGAATGAAGAATACACAAAACTCTCAAGCTCACACACTTTGCCCTTTATACGGAAAGTTCTATTTCCCTGCTGTCCTTTGAAAATCATCTTAATTCTGATTACTTCCTCCATAAGAGCTTTTTGTTTGTTTTTTCGATCGCTCTAGAACCGTCAGTCAGCTTATTCAATCGCTGACTAACTGTTTCCGATCAGTCATTTCTTTCAGATGAACTTCTGAAAATGTTTTTCATTATAAATTAATATATATATTTTGATTCATTTATAGATGACGTCTCAATTGGATCGTATCGACCGCAATTGGAGAAAAGATCCTTTCTGGATGGACATCTACCCAAGATGGGCTGAGCCAATTTTTAAGGTAAAAAAATTGTTAATTAATATAGGAATTCATTTTTGTAATTAGGATGGCATTGACGTGCATTCGTCAATTACTAATGATGATCGTCGTTTTGCCGTTGACATCGACTGCTACCAGTTTAAACCAGAAGAAATTCAGGTATGAACATCTCCAAATGCATTCGCAGAAAACATAATGTTTAGAGAGAAAATAAAAACTTTTCTTTCAGGTGAAAACATTGGACGATACATTGGTAATTGAAGGACGTCATGAAGATGTTAAAGATCGTGACAACTTCACAAAAATGTATTTCATTCGTAAATATCAGCTTCCTCAAGACTTGGAGCTGAATCAGATAGCCTCTTCCATTGATAACAAGGTGATCTATTCATCTTTTCTCTCTATATATTTGATCTTACACAGAAAAATGATTCAATTTGTTTTTTTAGGGTCGTTTGACAGTCGAAGCACCTCGAAAAGCTCCATTAGCCATCAACAGTCGTGAACGCGTAATTCCCATAGAAGGAGTTAATGGCCGTCGTTCTGCCTCCAGCACAAACACTTCTCCTCGTGGTCGTCATGATTCTGGATATTCGAGTCCGTTTTTCAAAAATATTAAAAACTATTTGGATGAAATGAAAGACAAAATGAACCGAAATATCAAAATTAATACGAAAAACGGCCCGAAGAAGTCAAAAGAGACTGAACTTTAAGAAGAAAAGGAAGAACATGAATGAAATTCTGATTCTCTCTCTCTCTCTCTTCCTCTCTAGCTTTCTTAGTCATCATCTCTTTCACAATATCTCAAAAATGCCAAATCTCGCCCAAAATGAAATCAAAAGAGTAAATAATTTTAATTTAAATATTTTCAATGAATAAACTGTTGATATGGTTTTTATTGTCTTCAGACGGATACTCTTCCCGAGGGCAAACTTCTCCAATTCACATTCAAACAGGAGATGATCAGCGTGGACGTGAGATCAGAATCGACACCAATTACGGAAATGGACGAGTTGATAACTCAAGAGATTATTCTTCTTCTCGGAATGATAATCGAGGAGATTATCGTGAGCATTTGAGCCCTAACTCTCGCGATGGATACACCACTTCTCATTCCTACAGGTTTTTTTGCAATCCTATGGACTAACTCACGGGGAATTTCAGCTATCATCGCAGTGAATCGAGATCCCGCCTATCACCTCATGATATGGCCATGTCCAATGAGAACCGAGCATTCGCAAACGCCAGCCCTCGTCGCACCAGCTTTGACAACCGTTCTGCTGATCATCAATCAGGTATGGGAGCATAGTACCAGTTTTCAAAAACTTTTAACAACAAAACTAAAAATAAGTCGTTTTTCATCATTTTTTGATTCAAACAGAACGTAGTTCACCAAATGAACAACGGTCACCAGCTCCTGGAATATTTGAAGAAATCCGTGACAAGTTTGAGAAAGGTTCAGCTTATAAAGCACGTGTGTTCTTCCACCAACCCTCACTCACTTAGCCTTCAAAGTTTGATTTATGGGCATGTGCATAAGAAAACGAAATTTGTTTTAACTCTCTTACTCTACTAAACAAACACAAACTCAGCTTGATTTAGCTGGGAATGATTGGTTGTGTTGTTTTTTCACCTAAAACATATTTTACAGGTTTCCGCTCTCAATCTCGTGGGCCGGAAATCCGTGTTGACACTTCACGCAGTGAATCTCGTAATAGGGACAGAGATTATCACACTAATGGATATTCTACTACTGACAGTAGGAATGGTACGTTTTCAATCATTTTTACTTTATATGGAATTGGTTTGCCGCCATGTCTAGGACAAAAATAATCGTGCATTTTCCATTCCAACACACTGAGCCGTGAGAGCGGTCGTGCATTTATATATGATACATTTCAAAAAAGCAACTCTAAATTCTTTATTATAGGGGGATACCGTGTAGAATCTCCTGCATCCACTACTACTGGAATTCTGAAAAATACATCTGACTTACCACCACGAGCTGAATCACGTTCAGAAAGCCTTCGAAGTGTTCAAATTCTCCGAAAAACTTTCGGATAAACTGCTTTAATCAATTTTCTAATTGAACAGTAACTCCCTTCAACTATGTGCATATCCTTACTTGATTAAGTTTCATATATAGCTCAAATTAAACCATTAACTTTCATAAATCAATAAACAAAAAAATGAAGAAGCTTAATTGGGGCTTCAATTTTCATTTCAAAGTATTTCTTTAATGCTTTTACTCTCTTATCAATGCTTTTACCCGCATGGCTAGTCGATCTACTTGTAGTGCTGTGTATTTAAAACGACTGTTTTTTAAAATAAATTTTAATTCTACGAAATAAATAAGATAAGACTTCCTTATGAAGTGACGAATAGAAAGTTCAAAGCCAATGTTTGGTCGGTCTAAATTAAAGTAACCATAATCGGAAAAGCAGTTAAAAACTGCCTCTTCCAGACAAGTGAAAGAAAAATATTGCTTTGAAGGGTAAGAAGAAAAGTGAATCGACCACTTAAGGATAAATGCTTTACATTTACTACAAAATAAAGGAAGCCTCGAAATTGTCGAACAGCTTATGAAGGAAATTCTAATGCCTTCTATCTACGAGATCTCAAGCGGTTATGCTCTTACAAGGATTTAAACTAATTCCAAGTACGAGATGGGCACTCTTCCACGAACGCCATTTTTTTCGCCCATAATGAAATCGGCATCCAAACCTGGTAGACGATACACTATCAAAATCTGAAAAGAAAAATTTTCACATGCATTATCCATTATTTTCGTTGTCACATCATTCTGCTTGACAGACAACTCATTTGGAAGAACAGCGTCGTAATCTAAGACAACACGGGCTTGTTTCGTTCCCATGTCGTCCACATTGAAGCCCTTCCCTCCAGGACCCTGAGAATAATTCATTAATTTTCCAGGCGAAAGCCATTATAAAAACCTTTGGTCGGATGCTATTGTTAGGCGGAGTTGAAGCAGTTCCGCTTACCAGAGTGGCAGATGATCCCAGAAAGGACATGGTGCTAAAAGAAGAAAACTCATGAAAAAACGCACGTTTATTCATATTCTCGTTTAGGCAAAAAAAACGAGAAGAAAAGCCAAAACAACTGTACAGATAATAGGGCCATCGCAGAATAATTAAGAGGAGAGGCTGACCCTGAGGGACGAAAGGGAGAAATTAAGTACAACCACATTTTACAAAAAAAAACATGCGAATATCTAAACAAGGTTCGTATGAAGACACAGAAACGATTGTTAGGAAGGTTGAACAACTATTTAAGAACTCAAGCGAAGCACGACACAAAATGGTTCGAATTATGTCTTTAAATCACGAAACGGGGATAACTATCTCTAACTATCTTAAATCCATCATCTTCATCTATTATATAAGGAATGTATACTTTTGTGCAAAAATAATTATAATAAATATATATGTGAATATATATGTATATATATATGCGTGTGTGTATATATGTGCAGGAAGCAAGTTTCCTAAAATGTGCAGTTCTACTTAAGATCATCGCTGGTACTGCTATGAGAGACTTTGGTTTCGGAAGACGGGATAGTCGCGTAGAGCCCAAATCCAGCAGATTCACTAAGCGAACTAAAACACATCACAACTACGAGACTGTATTTGACAAATCACTAAAGATTCAATCGAATTCAGAAAGGATGCTCTAAAGCTTACCCGCTCAGGTCTCTTTGAAGATCCGACATCATTTGATGACATTGGGCATGGAAAGACATTTGAGCTTCTACGAAATCACGGAGACATTTCAGTTGATTATTCTGAAGTTAAAGTGGAATCCTATGAGATACATTACAATACTCACATGAGCCGTTTGAATTCCTTCCAGAAGCAATTTTGTGATTTCGGCTTGCTTGTCAAATTCAGCTTGAGCAACTCGCAAATCTGCTTCAGCCTGAAAGGTTTATTTATTCGGAACATCAAGATAACACAAATCTATCATCAAAACAATCACATAATCCACAATGTTCAACAAACCTGTTCAACGGTAAAACCTCCGCCTGTTTTACTGTTTGACTAAAACAAAAAGGAAAAAAAAATTGAAAAAAAATTTTTTTTGAAAGAAAAAATAAAGAAGTAAAATGTGAGACTTACGCTTGTCTGATTCTCCGCTGTCTTGGCTTTTCTCAATCTACTTTTGCAAGCATCCAAGTCGAGACGTTTGCTGTTGAGAATTTTCCGTTCTTTCTATAATGATATAACAGCGTGCTACTGATAGTTCAATAACAATATACTTGGATAGTTTTCATATCTCCTTCTAAAAATCGTCTGATTGGAAGAAGAGTTTGAGTAGCACATTGGTTCACGAACTCCCGATCAACAGTTCCCAACTTTTGTTCCGTTTGTGCAACTTTAATTAGAGCACTACCTTCAAAAGTTTAATTATCAAGCATTGAGCCTCTCCTTTCGTTTTACCATATGGGGTAGTACATCCGAACTCTTCTCCAGCTTCACTCATGGCTTGAGCTAAATGCTCCAAATTATTGAGTCTTCCGCCTCCATCTTTTTTCAACTCCAGTTTCTCATAGAAAACTTCCTCCATACGAAGAGCTGAAAAATATATTTAATTTGAGTAAAGTTCGAAAGCTCAAGCAATCCAATTATGGAAAGTCAAAATACATACTGTAATCAGTGTAATTCAATTTTCGTTTTATGGCCTAATATGATGTAGAATGAACTTACTAGGATTGGGTTGAAGATAACTTTCAATCGATCCCAAGATTTTTCTGGTGTGATCTTCAGTTTTATCGGCTCTTTGAAGCAAGTTCTCAAAATGAGCATCCAACTCTGTTCTTTCGGCTTTCAAGAAAGTTTCTTCAGTGAGCTGCAAAGAAAAAGAAATAAGAATAAGACATGAAGAAATTCACCTGTTTAGCTCGATTGAAGAACCCACCAGCTTCGCTTGCCAACTTTTTGAAGTTAAAGTCCATCTGAAAGTATATAGGATACTTATAAAACAAATGGGATATAAAAGATGTATTTCTTCAGAAAAGAAAAAGCACAAACTACTCACGCACATCAATAACAACACACATATACACACACGCACACAAAAACGGAAAGATCGATACGTTGCCGAGACCCAATAGAGAAACTGCAGATGAACTCTAGCCCCAACTGAAGAAACTTTTCCAAAATGAAGTCACGCAAGCATTTCTCAGAAAAAATAATCGAAATCTGATTTTTGAATGATAAAGCTTATTTAGTAATAATCTGTAGTAACGACTCCATGGGTTAGATAAGACGAAAACAACTTTTTCCAGACACAAACCAATCTTCACTTATGAGCATCAAAAACAACTAACTTATGAGAAATTACATTTTAACAGAAAATATAGAAATCCGTCAGGTTATTTTCAATATGCTACGAATAATGCGTAAGAGAGACCCTTCCGTTACAACACATCGGCATGGAAACAACAAGAAACAAATATTTTCGAAGTTTTGTATCTCTAACAGAAATCTTTTATTTTGAAACAAGTATCGATATATCATTAAATAAAATAAAAGCCTATGCTAACTTGAATAAACATCGATAGGCAAGCATAGTTTACATTTTGATGGTGTTCGATACCCTGCTCTAAAGACAATTACCGCCCTTCAACTAACCTGATCAGTATTTGAGCAAAGACTATATGAATATTCATTATAGTTGTTACTTTTCGCTTTACTCTCGTTTATAATAACATTACATGATTGCTACATTTCCGAATAAGACAATGTTCTGCGTGTTAATAATGTAATGTTAAATAACAGTTTTAGAATGGAGACTGAAGCTTCATGTGACGACGAACATCTTTCTGCTACTGTATCAACAAGAAGAAGATCTCACTCTGTGTCTGATGATTACTCCGTTCAATGCACTAATGATGATGCTACGCAATGTAAATACGCTGCTATTCAGGTATGTTTAAAACTTCCTTTTTTCAAACCATGGTTTTTGACCCGTCAATTAGAATACGTGATGTTCCACGCAAACTAAGCAAATCACATGATACGTAGGTTATTTCATGTTTTCGTATCATGTTACGCGGTTGTACTTTTATTCATATTTTTTTTGTTTAATTTTTTGCTTTTAGTTGAAATACTGGGAAGATCCGTTCCTGGAGCGTTTCCTTTCTGCGGCATCTGATAAGAAAATCAGAAGAGACCCTGAAATATCAATTGGTTATTGGGCTCGAGTTGCCGCTGTAACAAAGCTCGTAACAGACTTCATCAAATCCACTGATGGTAAATGTCAAATTATCAGTCTGGGTAACTCGTTTTTTCTTTTCGTATTTACCCGCATTTCCATAGGTTGTGGATTTGATACGCTTTATTGGCGTTTGAAAAAGGATGAACTTAAATTTGTGCGATATGTTGAAGTTGACTTCAGCTCTGTCACTGCCAAGAAAATTAGACATATCATGAAACCTGGATCTGATGTTCTTAGAGGATTCTTCACAGAAACACGTAGCGTTTCAGCGTAATTCACCAAACAAATTCTTCATTCAGCCCGAGAAGAACATCATTCCGATTTGCATGGCGGAGACTACCAACTCATTGGAGCTGATCTTAGACAGTGGTCTGAACTGAAGGTTTGTAAAAAGTGCTAACAAAATATCAAAAACTTTAATTGTAGGGAAAGCTGGACAAAACACAGCTTGATCATTCTATCCCCACCTTAGTTCTTGCTGAGTGAGTATTTCATTATAGTATCATGATAATTTTTATATTTCAAGGTGTGTGTTAGTATATATGCCTCTCACCCAAAGTGAAACCTTGATCCGCAATCTTGCTGAAACCTTCTCAACTGTTGTCTTTGTGAACTACGAACAAGTGAGTCTACTTACAATCATCATCAAAAAATCTGTACCGTTCAGTTCCGTACATCAGACAAGTTCGGTCACGTGATGGAGAAGAACTTGGAGCAAAGAGGAATTCAGTTGCTCGGCCTGGATGCTTGCGCTAGTGTGGACACTCAAAAAGAAAGGTTAGGACTGTGTTCTGAATTCAGTTTTCTAATGTAAACTATTTGAGGTTCTTGAAAAATGGATGGAGTAATGCTGTTGTATTGGATATGCAAACAGTTTACAAAACTATCTTGTCTTCCCAAGTCCGCAGGTATCATGAAGGGAAGTACAGTTCTTTATTTTTTTTGTTTTGTTCAGCATCGAATCAATCGAATCTTTGGATGAAATGGAGTTGCTCTGGCAGCTTTTATCCCATTACTGCATTGTTCATGCCGTTGCTGATAAGACATCGACATTTCTCAAAAAGTTGTCCTTGGAGCTGTAAATGGCAGAATCGTGTAATATTCTAAAGTATTGCCTCATTTGTATGACATCTATTTTATTCCCATACGTGTATTAAATATGTTTCATACTTTCTGTTCTGTGTTAGTGGTTGATTGAACCATGCATATTTCTGTTCTTGTTCTTTTTTTTATACTCCCTTCTTTATTTTAGAATGTCCATGAGCCAATGCAAGATCGATTACGTTCGTTCATCGCGAACTTTGAGAACTGCTGATCCATCTTTTAATCCACCCGGATACTCTTCGAACGCTACTACTGTTCAACATCACGTAAGTACAAAATGTATTTATTGTTTTATATGGTTTGGTTCAGGTAGACAGTGACCAAGCTAGTGATGCACACGAACATTTGGCTAAAAAGCGAGCATGGGAAGTAGCTATGGGACCAGCAAAAGGTCTACCAATGAACATGTTTGTGATGTACATGGCGGGTCGAAGTGTACGCGACTTATCTATTTCGAAGTCCGAAGTTCTTTTTTTTAAGGTCTCTATTTTCCCTATTATGATGGTAGGAATGCTACTTTGGAGAACAGTTAAAGCATTATTCTCTGTGAACGAAACATTTAAACCACTTCAAGTATTTTTGCAGACATCACTATCTTTTACTGAATCATCATGCTTTAGGACCAAAACTCAGGGCCAATGATTTTACAGAAGCTGATTTTCATTTTAGGAAATATAGGAGCTATTGTTATTGCCATATACAAGGTGTGTTTCTTATTTTTTGCTTGTTAGCTTGTGTTGTGTGAATGGAAAAACTTCGAGCGGTTGAGAGCAGCTTGAGGTTGTTTTGTTCGTGACCCCATTTGTTTTCACAAGATTCTATGTGACAGTAGACGTGCTCATTAGTTTCAAGATATATTCGTATCATTTAGATTCACACAATGGGTCTGCTACCTAACACTCCCTCGGACTGGCTAGAGTTCATTCCACAACCGCAACGGGTACAGTACTCGATGTTCAGTTCAACCTATGTCTGATAAGCGTTTTGTAAGATTTTTACTATTTAATAAGTGTAGCAACTCCTTCTAATTTATTTTATATGTTATTAGCAATTCGTCCGAATAAACTTGTTTCCTGCTATACATTCAGTTGTTTTGGTGACTGTTCTCTCTATTTCACACATAAGGCCAGGAGAGAGGAAAAAGGAATTGGCACTATTTTAGTAAAGTTGCCATAGAAACAGGAAAAGAAGGGAGATTGGGAAAATTTTCTGCTCCTACAAGGATGTTTGCTGATGATCAGATTTGGTCTGATAAATCACTATGTTCTCAGTTGATCTGCGGGAGCAGAGAGGCGAGACTTATGTAATGTTCTAAGAGCAAACAATCGTTTATTTTCAATCCACTTCTATTGTTCAACTACGTACGAGCCATTCGTAAAGGCTGTACTTTAATCTTTTTATCTTTAAATTTTAAGATTAAATTGGCGAATTTTGCTTATCTGCTGCTTTTTGTTGTCGAGCAGAGATGAACGTGAGTCCAAGGCGGTTCTCTTGCAGTTTACATTCTTTAGCATTTTTACCGCTGCCCATTCAGTTATTTCACTCCGAAAATTAGACAGTTCACTTGGAAGATCCGAAGTGCACACCTTATAAGTCAAATGATTTGTTTTTTGAATGACAATCGGTTCCTAATCAAATTAAAAATTTCTATATAATCTCTTTTTTTCTTTTTTCCATTCACTTTTGTCGTTTCAGTGAGGAGCGTCGTAGTCAGTTGTGTATTCCACAGCCACTTACTATTATTTAAAAGAAACACTTAGATTGTTGTGAAGCCTCTTTCAATTCCATCCAAATATGGTTGGCTTCGCGCCGTTTTTTTATTTCCTACTGCTGTTTCTACGACAACAATGATGAAGCAGAAGCCAATCCTTCCGTTTCACAAAATCTTCTACTGATTCTCTCAACTGATACTGTTCCCATTCATTTTTCTTGTTTTTCACTTCCTTCTTAATTCGCCACAATAGCTTTTTCCTTTTTGAGTTTGAAAACATGAATTCCACATTGTTTGCAACTTTTCCTTCCTTCTCCTTTTTTTTTCGCTGAGCTTTTACCTTTTGTTCATTGAAAATATGTGGAGAGATAAGCCTTAAAAGGCTATTACTTAATGTGTTCATGTCATGTAAGTAGTTTTATATTTGAGAAAGAAGCAAGTTTTCGAGAGATAGAGTGATTACTAAAGAGAGAGAAAGATAGGAGAACTTTCACAGAGAAAAGAGTTTTCCAGAGAGAGAGAGAGAGGGGGAAAGAGAGAAAGAAGGAACTATTTTTAAATGTCCAGTGATAGAGCGAGATAGGGAATGAAAGAGGAAACGAGAGAGAATTTCATTGTAATTGAAGTAAAGGAAATTTAAAGATAGGTAATAACGAATCTCAGTAGTAGTAGTAGTAGCAGTAGGAAGTGATGAAGGAATAGACGAGAGTCAAAGATGAAAACAGTAGAAACATAACAGGAGAACAGCAAGTGCACAGATAGTGAGAGAGAGAAAGAGATAGGGCGTTAAGAAAATAAAAATCATGACGAAAGAAAATGGGAGGGTAGAGTTGCCAGCCTGTTGTTGTTGTTGTTGTTGCTCTTCCAACTTTCTTTTATTGTGTGACTTTCGAGACTTTTCATGCAATTTGTGATAGAAATTTGAGATGTTTTAGAAAAAAAGCAAATTGTCACTTGAATATTCTGAAAAAAAAGCTTTTTTTTCAGAATATTTCATGCGCCGATCATGAGACAGCGTTGGAAATTGAGTTTTTTTTTTGTGAAAAATTAAATTATTAATAAGTAAGAGAAGGCTGGTTGCGAATAGGAAAATATCAGAAAGATATGTTATTGCTTGTTTCGTCTTGTATTCATTTACTAATTTTCTTTTTTCTCTTCCTTTAAGGTTTCGTTTTCAAAAACAAATTATCAGACACGTACACATATCCTCCTTCCTTGCTAATATGTAAAAACTAGAAGGATTTTCTTGGAAAAAAAAAACAGGAATCTAATATAGTCTTCTATTTCTCCATCTTTCTCTCTTTCTCCCTTTTTTGGCTTTCTCTCTGTCACAGAAGCTCTCGATTTCGTTTACTCTCTCCTTCCATGTGATAAGGTTTTGGCTCTTTCCCTTTTTACGTTTTACATCTCAAGGCGAAGTAGTAAGCAATAAGTGTGTTTATGAGTATGGAGAGACAGAGAAATAGAAAAATAGATTAATCAGAGATTCGCAAAATAATAAAGAGAGAAAAAGGAATATAGAGAGAAAGAGAGAGAAAATTAAAAAAAAAATAACTGAATCCTCAACATCTGCACCTCTTATTGCGACACCCTCCCCCTCAACCAACCATGATTTACAACAATAACAAAACAAAAGCCGGAACTTTGATTACATTGCATGTCCTTTTCATATATGGACGGACATTAGTTCTTTGAAAATTCATTCGTTTATTTATTTACTTCAAAAATAGTTTCTTAACCAAATTTGTTCCTTAAATTCATCTCATTATTCGTCAGATTTCTATTATTTAACTTATTCACGAATTTTTCTTGTCCGTCAAACACAATTTTCTCTCTTTGAAAATTTTATTTTCCTCAAGAGATTCATTAAAATTGATGTTTCAGTCATCTTCACAGAAAAACCTTTTTTCTTGTTCATGCCTTCCCTTCTCCCTCCGTCACTCCCACCACCCTGCCTGCATCCTCATCTCACCCTCCACGCCAACTCTGTATGCGCTCTTAAAAGAGACTAAATCATTAGGCAAACTGACATATGAATGATTTGTAAGAGAAAAGAGCCGAAATTATGACGTAAATGACCTTCTCACTCAGATTTAAAGCTTTTACTATAAAACAGGATGCTAAAACTGAAGATATATTCTCGAAGCTTCTGGACATACATATAAGGTCATGCTCTCGTGGGCATACGACGCGCCCTTTGTTATTAGAATCTGCTGAGCCTACACAATGATCAAGTGAATTGCGACTGGAAATTTCGAGTCAATCAAATAGCCTAAAGCTTATCTTCACACATCCCTCTGCAGCTCCCTCTATTTCTTTCTCTTCCCATTTCTTCCTCTTTCTCTCTCCGTCTCTTTCTTTGTATGTGTTGCATTTAAATTGCTGCTCTGAATAGCCAACAACATCTACATTTGCCTTCGTGTATTGTCGTTGCTTGGAGAGACTGGTGAAAAAAATTTTTTTTTTTGAAATTTATTTTGGTTGCCGGTAGAGTGCGAATGACAATCTTTTAAGCTGATTTCTGCAAACATCTCCTTATGTCGTTATCATTTTCACAGAGGATTAATGAAAAGAACAAAAAAATTGCCTCCGTCAATGTCCTTTCTACGACAATCTATAAATATTCAATTTTGTTATCTTTCCGCATGCGTAAATCTTCCACATAATTTGAGGAGTCGTCGATCGAGCAAAAGTTGATTCATCTATGCTTTCTTGACGATAGCAACGGTTGATGTTTCAATTAGCTTTTGTTTTTCGTGCGTGTTTCTTCTACTTGTGCAAGGCACGCATTCACGTGTTTGATGCGCATTCAGATTTGCAGAAAAATGCAAAGCGGAAGCAGCTGAACTATCTCAAATCTCATCCATCTTCATAAGTTTTTTTTTCGTCAAAAAAAAAAGAAGAAAAAAAAGTTTTTCGTTCTTGTTGCTCAATATCCGGCTATCTGTTCTAGATGCAGGGCATGCTCTCACTCAATCTTTTCGAAAACTCTGCTTAAATTTTGAGAATGATTATTGAAATGGAGCATATAGCATAGAGGAGGGAAAAGCTTGAGTTTCATTCATCTTATGCTTGAAGCAGCACCTCTTCATTGTCTTTTTGTTTCATTCAGTAGAGACGGCGAAGAAGAGAAAAAGACGAATCTATAATTCATCTTTTATTTCGTTCACAAAAAAAATGAAAATAATTTTTTTGTTTTCCATACAAATTCTTAATTGAAATAATTCGCAAACGAAGAAGAAGAAGTGAGTAGTGTGAAGAGATAGATAAAGTGAGAGAGAATGACAGAGATTGAGAGAGAGGGAGAGAAAGAGAGAGAGAGAAAATGAGACAAAAAGAGATTAAAACTTTTTTTTTGCTTCAGCTATATTTTGAAGCTTAAGTGCTATGGATTGAACGAGACACCTTGCACCAGTTTATCCTTACATGGATGTTGATATTATGTTTCCATATGCAGCTTTTCTCTTCTTCCTTTTTCGTATTTCTGTCTCCTTTATTCCTCTTCGTCTTCTTCTACTTTAAAGCGAGAGAGCTCTGCCCTCGTTCGCTCCAAATAAGGTTTTCAGTCGATCAAGCTGTCTGCTTCGCATGTAGCAAGTGAGGGGATGTTCTTCTATAGAATCCATTCACACACACTCATATATAGAGAGATAGAAAGAGAAATAGAGAGAAGGCAGAAAGAAAGTGGTAATTCAAGAGAGTACGAAAGATAAAAATAAAATGAGTTCGTCTCGTACTCTGCAATACTAAGGAACAGCTTAGTCATTGGAGTAACCTCCTCTACTTCTTTTCATTTTTGCTGTTTATCTGTTATCGTTATGATAATCTCTTTTTATATATTTTTCAACTTTCACTTCTTTTTTTGTTTCTTCTTTTATATTTCTTTTTTGACTTTTTCATGTCCATGACTTAATCCTCATCATTGCTATTTGGAACGTCGATGGCTTCCCAGCTTCGCCCTGAGCCATCATTCTCCCCCCCCCCCCCCCCCCCCCCCCCCCCCCCCCCCCCCCCCCCCCTCTCTTTTTTTTTTTTTTTTTTTTTTCTTCTC